CCAACTGTTGACGGACGGACGCACGGATGGATGCACGGACAGACGATCATGCGATTCTACAAGCTGCGTCTGACTATGTCAGATGAGGTAAAAATACATGTGGTTATATATATTCTATTCTATATTATATTCTATGTTAAAAAGAGATGATAATAATGTGGTATATCTTTATTTACGACACACGTAAATGTAGTGTAGTAAACAGACGTGTGCATTACATATATAGTGTTTATTTGTGTTGCATATTCGTGTGATTGCCTATTATAATTTCTTGAAAAATTTCTGCAATGGGCTTTACATGACTTTTTATATATGTAGTGTACGTCTGGCTACAGAATATGCTGAGCTGGTCGAAAACAAAAATGGTCATTCATAACATAAACTAACATCTTTGGTAAATAAAACTTAAAGTCCCCTACATCATATTTTACCTCTCGCATCAACAACTGTAACAACCTTGGGGTAGCCTGATGTGCAGGTGTGGTCCACATCACAATTCCACACTTCCACCCTGTTGGTGTCATATCGGGTGAACATTCCATTCTAAAAATAAATAAAGTATAAGATCAAAGCATTACATATGTAATAAGACATTTAGCATATGACATTCTTCAACTCATCACTGTTTATAGTAATCTGAATGTTTTGCTGTTTCTTTATATACATATTACACTACTCAAGTACTGGGCAAAATATGTGCTAACTCTAGTATCTGTACATCAACGGTACCACTTCAACATATATGACAATTTTAGAGCTTAATGAACATGTCATGCATTTGTTTTACAGAGTGGCTATATGCCCGGCAGCTGACTTATATCTGACGGCTGCCGAGCACGGTCTTCGATTTCCTAAATGCCCGGCAGTTTTTAATTTTCAGTGTTATCTCAAGTAAACAAGGGTTAGAGTTAGGGTTAGGGTTAGGAACTGCTGGGCATTTAGGAAATCGAAGACCGTGCCCGGCTGCCGGGCATATAGCCACAGCGTTTGTTTTAAGTTAGATTCCACTATCATAATATTTATCGCTGTGGCTACATGCCCGGCAGCCAGGCACGGTCTTCGATTTTCTAAATGCCCGGCAGTTCCTAACCCTAACCCTAACCCTTGTTTACTTGAGATAACGCTGAAAATTAAAAACTGCAGGGCATTTAGGAAATCAAAGACCGTGCCGGCGGCAGCCGTCAGAATATATGCCGGCTGCTGAGTCATATAGGCCACTCTGAATATTTATACCTTCGCAGTATAAGCAACATGGCAGCTTTACGATGGCAATGGGCCGGTTTCAAAGCAACCAGCGGCAGTATTGTTCAATAGGCTGGGCAATCTGTGGGCATCCTTATTGGGTCTTCTGCCCAAAATGATTGCATTGGCTTCCCACGAGTCACCTTCTTTGAACCGCTGACGAACAGAGATGGGGAGCGTCAGCCCGCAAGCTCCCATCCTTCCTGTCTAGCTGCCTGGTAGCCAGATAGAACTGTGAGAATAATAGGTTGAATATAAATGATGAATAAACAATGAAGAGTTCGGAAGGAACGAGTGCTAATTAAAGGATTACTCGACGACGAGTATGGCTTGTGTCAGGAGGGAGTGAGCAAGGGGGGGGCTTCAGAATGACACCATAGGGTCTATGTCCCCCCAGGGTAGCTGCCGACCGTACGGACTGGTAACTATTTGATATGGAGGCTTAGGGTTAGGTTAGTTTAGGGTTAGGGTTAGGGTTAGGGAGTAGGGCTTATGCGACTCCTAGACTCGTTAGTGAGTAGGCGAGGTAAGCGGTCCGGCTATATTAGATAGTAACGGCAGGGTACGTTCCGGCAGTACAAACCTGGGGACATAGACCGCCTCCTCAGCCTCATTGACATTATGTGAATCCACCAGCATTATTATTATTAATAATAATATGTCGGCTTAAGTTTAACCTAATTAATATTACTAGTATTAGTAATAGCCACATTACACAGCTGTACATCAACAGTACCACTTCAAGTCTACTACTACGCTCTAGTACTCTCTAGTACTAGTAAGAGTAGTAGTAGTTAGCTATTATACACTACTAGTCGTAGTAGTAAGTAGTAGTAGTAGTAGTAGTGAGTAATATTAAAAAGTAGGTAGTTGTAGTAGTAGTAGCAGCAAGCAGGCAGCAGGCAGGCAAGCGCAGCAGTAGTAGTATAGTAGTGCTAGTACTACTAGTACTAGAGAGTAGTAGTAGTACTAGTAGTACTAGTATATAGTAGAGGCTAGAGCCAGCGAGCAGATGGACACTCGAAAATCAGCAGCGACTGACGTCAGTGTAACGCGGTGGACTTGTCGAGCAGCCGACCAGTCTAATACAAAGATACACGGCTCCGTCTAGGCTTAGATAATAATATCGGGATATTTATTGAGTAGTTTAGAAGTCCCGGGTATTTAGAAATTCTGAGATTTATTAGAAAAAAAATTAATTTTCTGGAATAATTTACGACTTTTAAAAGCATCTTTTGGGGATTTTGCATGGGTTTTTCTTGATAAACATTGAGGCCAGCAATAATACTCTATCCAGCGGTGTTACTAGTAGGCTTATTGCAAAACTCATGCCATTGCACGATGTACTGTAACTGTATAGTTTCATTGAGCATTTGGTCAACAGTAGATTGTCTCTGTATTATGTATATGAGAAGTTTGTTTGGCAATTTTTTTGGCAGCACAATAAAATATGTCGTCATAGACATTATGTTGAAATAACTGAGAATATTTAGAAAAAATGTTCTGGTGATATGTAGAAAAAAAATTTGAAGATAGTTTAGGAGATTTTTGTGAGAATTTCAAGAAACATATTTAGGCCATTTTTCAAGATATTTCAGTATTTGTATCTAAGCCTAGCTCCGTCGCAACCGTCTACGTTTTTTATCTATAATTCTCTTCAATAACATCGTACTTCAATTCGCAGGTGCCTTTCTGTTTATAGAAACATTTATAAATATGATTGTGCTAATTTGGATATTGTGCAATATTTGTGTTAATGCAGAAAGTAAAAATGTCCGACTGTTGACATTTTTCGCATACTTCTCAATGGCGGCGCCGAGGCAATGTTATACCACTTGCTATTTGACCTCAATATGGGCGGCGGCACTTTCCGATCTCACTTATTAGTAACATGCCCCACGCGCATAAATAATTATAATTATTGCGCACATCCCTCACCATCAATCAATGCTAGCCAGCACGTATACAGTGCTATACACACGCCACGCTATGCTGGCTGTTGCTGCGCGCTGTTGGCGGCTGCTTTTTTCGACGACGCTTTAATAATATACCGTGAGAATTCGTGCGATAGCGCCCTGGCTCAAACGAAGTTAGGAATATTAAAGGGAGAGATTACTCTAGGTTCTACGGTTATTTTCAGCTAATTTAGGTTATAATTACACTACATAAAAAGTTTCATGGCTTCAATCACCATTAGAAATATTTTTAAATGAAAGTGTCAATGACCTGTAGCTCACACACAAACAAGTGCCGCATAGCGACAGCGCTCATCTAACGTCTACTGCGGTGACTCTGTGGTGGAGTGGAGGATTCTAGTAACCCTGTTAGTCCCAATGTGTTCACATACACGCCGAAACAGTGAATGCACAGGGATGGTATCAGGAACCTTCTCAAAAGAATGTTCGTTGGGATCGTTATGAAAGTTGCCACAAGATGGCGCGTACGTTTTAAGTGTCTTCAGATTAAAGATGGAAGCTGCCATCATTCGTAGTAGCAACAACTATTGCAAGACAGAATAGCTAACATCATCCATTTACCTACGCAAGCCTACAGGCTGCAAATTGCCCAATAGAGTACCGAAGTGTGACGTCACGTTGGCAAGACAACGCACGGGCTGGTTCTACACAAGCCACTGGCTCCATATAAGGTTTAGCTGGTGAAAATGTTGTGCGTACGTAAAACACGATGTGTGCGCTGCAGACAGCGTAAAGCATCGGTAGCAAGTCGATCTTACAATATTTAATGAATTTAAAAAAATTTAATTTTTTTTTAAAATTTTTTTGTTGTTAATTATTTTTATTTTTTGGTGCTTTTCACTTCCACCTTTGGAAATCTATAAAACTGCATTAATGACTCTCAGATGATGGTTACAATCGGGTACAAAACACGACACGTAGTTAATGTTACCAGAGCATATGATTGTGTAGAACCAGCAGGCTCGTTGTCATGCCACCGTGACGTCATCACTTCGGTACTCTATAGAGAGCTGACCTGCAACCATTAAGCGCAGGCAAAAACTGCCCCAACACATGCACTGGCAGCAGCACTGGCAGCAGCCACTGCAGTGGCATACGTTACATGTAACATACTGACAGTACAGAATGACATAGAAATTATACGCATTTAAGGAACATACACCTTCTTTACACAAATTTAGCTTTTGAAATTTCACGTGTGACATTGTAGCCTCCATACATCCAGGCATGTATAGATTCTACTAGCAAACCCGACAGTCAAATTTTCTAACAGACAGTCAACAAATCCAAGTTTAACCCTCCTCTTGAGGGTCAAAAGGTTATCCGATCACTTACTCTTCGCATGTCAGCAGAAGGGACATTCATGGTCCTTTCAATAAAGCCATAAAAATGCTAGTCAGCCGTGAAACAAAAAAGTTTTTCAATCGCTCGCCCGCAGACATGTCCTCAGAAAATGTCTAAAATCTGCCCTGTGCCCACTGACCTTTGACCTGTGACCTCCAATTTCGGCACAGTGATGGCTTTTCCTACCATGATGCTATACACCGACTATCACGAGCCTAGGTCGAGCCGTTTAGATTTGTGCCGGCAATTCTGCATTCTCCCTATACCTTAAGTTAAGGAGTGAATGTTCCCCCTTCTTTTACACTTCTTGACCTTTGACCTTTGACCCCCAGCTTCGACATCCCAACTCGTTTTCGGATTTACCCCGCCACATCCGAATATCGTGACCGTACGTCGAGCGTTAGCATTTGTGCCCAACTGTTGACGGACGACCGGACGGACGGACGGACGGACCGGACGATCAGCGATTCTACAAGCTGCATCTGACTATGTCAGATGAGCTAAAAAGGACACAAATGAGTGAGTGAGAAAAAGTCAGTTTTAATTGAGCAACCATCGACGTACATTATAGAAACAAAGAGTATATAGAACTCCCATTATATACTCTTGATAATTATGAGTAATTTTTTATGTGAAAATAAATGTTTAAGATGTGAAAGTTTGAGATGTGGGCCGAGTGATGGCGTTACACCTAAATGATCGCCATTTAACGTTTTTTATAATATTCAGATTTAGGCACTGCTAAAAGCGGAGGCTCCGGATGTGTAACGTGTAAGATTGAGAGGACACGCTTATTCCACGTAGCTGCTATATACCACGTGAGTGACGTGACAATGGTGTTTCCCTGACCATAACACAACTTTTGTCAAAGGTTAATTGGTTGCATGGAAGTGTTTACTTCGTATGAGTTTTTCTAGGCGGTAGCACACCGGTTGCCATCTGTATATCGCAATAATAA